TTTTAATTGACCTGGGAGAAAGCATCCATTCCAAACAATGAAATTATTGCTAATAATCTTCTGTGTGGTTCTTTTTAATCAGGCTGCATGCTTCAACTCAGCTTGGAAAATTAAATTGGAGGGCAACTTGAAATACTGAAAAATTCAACCCAGAAATTTTGCAGGACTTAATGTGCAGAGTGTGCATTTATTTTACACATATGCATGTCGAGGAATTCAGCTGTGGTGAAATGCATTTGACTATGGTCATTGAAGTGTGAAATCTGGTCTGATATCCCCTTGCAAAAGTATATAGGAAGTGTAAGAATTTTGATTTAAGTTCTCTCAGGTTTGGCGTCATGAAGATAAAAGCTTGTTCTTTCTTTATTACAGTCCTTGTCCAGTCTTGTTAGATAATCCAATTTTCATTTGGCATGGAGAACAATAGAGGATTCCCTGCATTCTGTTGTTCAAGTATGAGTACATTTAATTTGCTAGCAGCATTTGTCAATCTGTTTCCTTGTTCACAATTCAGTCTGTAATTTGGAGATGCTTCAAAAGCTTTTTGTCATTCAGAGCTCTGTGGCCAGATTGCTACAGGTTTCCCCTCTGTTTTCCTTGCTCCAATGGTTTTTTGATTATGAAGAAGCTTGTATGATTATACCATAGAAAAAGAGCAGTCAACCTGTTAAAGAATTTGTAGAGTCATCATCTGCCTTTTCACCAGTTAGTTGATCAGCCAACCAACTGAATGTGTAGACCAAAAAAATATTTCTTGGAGATTTTGGAATGATCCATAAATGGGCCAATTTTTGGAAAAACAAAACAAAACCCAAGGTTTTGGTAATTTTTTTTTAAAGTATGCTACAGTTGGCTGAGTTTACATTTTTAAGCCATAGATCATGGTTACAAACCTCTATAAGATACTACTGTAGACCAAAAACAAGCTAACCTGTGAAGTCTTAATAGGATGGGCCAGTCCATCCACTCAATTATGCAGAATAGGAGTACATTCAGGATAGACTGTGGCATTCAGACTGAACTGACCTATGATCTGGCTCTCCATCATGAAGATTTGATGCCAATAAATAATAGATTTAGAATGGGAATGAGCTGTCTGTTAATATGCACCTTAACCTTCTTTGTCCCAGTTTCTTGTAATTTTCAATTTGATAAATTGTGATTTAATACTTAGTATCGCTCATTCTATGTTTGTGAGACCCATTCTAATCCCATCAATCACATATGCCCTCAATGACTAAAATTTATCATGGGGGATGTAATTCAATGTATCCAAAAGCTCCAAAATTTGGGAATATTAGGCAATACTGTTGTTATATTGATATGTACTTTTGCGTCTATGTTATGAGAAGGCTGGCTGGGAACTTGGTTATTTTATACAGAAAACTGATGCAAAAGCCATTAACAAGGTCTGTGAATCAAAACTTTGGTGTGAAGTTTTGCCATGTGTCTTTTCTCATATCAAAGGTTAAGGCTGTTCTTTTAGCATATGGTCTCTTTCCCTTATGCTTCAGAGCTTTGTTTTCTCTCTTTATATTTCTCACTCTTGCACAAACATCCCCATACATTTCTCAATTATCCCTCCACCACCTCCTCCTACTTAACCAGTAGTGTTAAGTCAACAAACCCCATCCCTTGGAATCTAGAATCATGAACAAAGTTTGGGACTTTGCAAGGAAGCATAGCACCTCACTGAGGATATTTTATCCAGAAACATCTCTAGAAAGGAAATGTCCTGGAGGTGAAACCCAGCAATGCTGTCCTTCAACCCTTAGACTTTCTAGTTCAAGAAGAACACATGATTGAGAAGTCTTTAGAGGAAGACAGGTTCATATTTGGGGCTCCTCAAGTCAGAGGAGGCAGCCTTGAAATCATTCTCAAGCCCAAAGAATAATGCCCTCCCCCAAAATCTTCAACCTTGTAGGCATCTGAGATTACAAAATCTAGAAAGGACATTTAAATATTTAGATAACTTCTCAAGAGCTTGTGGCTAAGTTTTAGTTGGCTTTAGAGTGTGCCAAGACAGTATGTAATATAATAAAGGGAGAACTTGGAGCTCTCTGGAGTCTTCTTTCCAGCTGCCATGACTGCCATGCCTAAAATCCCTTGGATCTACTCTTATTCTGAAGGAGGTCTAAGGGAATTCACTTCATGGAGGCCTGCCCATGTGGTATTTATAATGCTGGGAAGAGACTATTGAAGGAAGAGGACCTGGGATGAACCATGTTTTCCTAGTTATGAATGGAAGTTATTAAATTGTGTTATCAATGGGTGTTGTTAGTGCATATGACGCAGCTACCCTGCCCTTTTAAGGTTAATTTTGCTGCTCAAGCCCCAGAGAAATGGATACTGTTCACTTAAGCTGGTTGTTGGATTTTGGATAGTGATGTTGTTGCTTTTCTTATATGGTTGGTTTTATCTGGTAAATCATCCTGTACCAATGAAATATGGTATCACAGCAGTAACACAAGTATTGCTAATGCTTTGCGTTTTCTTCCAGTGAATGCAAAACATCTTTGGAGTGGGTGGGGGTGAAGTGCTAATTTTCTTCTCCCTTCTTTGTTAAAGCTGCCTGTCTCCATCTTGTTCCTCTTCATAATCTCCACTGGGCACAAGGATTTCAGTGTTTACTGCATGTAGGCTGACATAGTCTATTAATAGTTGTGCCAACAGGTGGCACCCCAGTGCTCAAACTGGCTAGTATTGCATTGGCCAGCTCTCAGTAACTGTCTGGCTGTCATTTCTCCCTCCAATGACTGTGATCACACCCCTGTTTTTCAATCAGCAAATTGCTAGCACCAAAGCGTCAGCCCAGCTGGCTCTTACGGGCTATTCATTTGCTTGCTTCTAGGGCTCCAAAATATTTGTGTGTGCTTCTGTGTGTCAAACAAGGAAGGAGCGCAGACCTTGGAGCAGTAGATGTTGGTGGGAAATGATGTGCTAGGATCTCAGTTCTTCTTGGCCATGGAGTGGACTTGCAATGTGTTACAGTTGGATGGCAATGAAATATTTATTTCTGGCTGCAGCTTGATAATGGGGTTGGGGCCAAAGTTAATGTGAATCATTAGAGGCTTTGTTGATAAAGAGCTTAAAGGTATATCAATTTCAAGCTGAGTTGGATTCCAGGTGACTTCATGGACATGGGGACGTAGTTCTCTTAGTTGGTTACCAGCTACGTCTGGGGTATTTTATCCATTGTTGCAATTTTGGTGTGTGCTAAGCTTGGCTTTTTCCTTGCAAGCGTTTGTTTGCCTATAGTGTTGGTTCTCCCTTATTCATATGTTGATTGCTGGTTGTGCAATCAAGAACAATCTAAGATGCAACAAGGCAACCAATCAAGCCAAATCAGAAGCAGGTTCACAAACTACAACAAGACAGATAGGAAAAACTGCCCCACATAAACAGCCGGCAAACCCCACTCTTATGTCAAAGCACTGATGATGCTACCTAGTTTGCCAAGGAAACCTTTGCAAGAAAAAAAGCCAAGCTCAGCGAACACAAAGATCCCAACATTTCATCTCTGAGCTATGCATATTCTCCATTATTTTTTCCATTTCCCAATCTATCATGCCACCCTGGGGTTTTCTGGTCGTCTCCCATCCAAGTTCTAATTAGGCTTAGTCCTGCTTATCATTGGAGCCCAGATGGAGCCAGCTTGCTGTAGTGGTTAAAGGCATTGGATTAGAAGCCAGGAAATCATGAATTCTAATCTTACATTAGGCCCAAAAGCCAACTGGGCAACTATGAGCCAGTCATACGCTCTCAGCTCTAGGAAGAAGGTAGTGGCAATCCGTTTCTTAAATATTGCCAAGAAAACTGCATCAGCTTGATCACCAGGAGTCAGGGTTGACTTGAAGGACCACAATCACAACAGAGTTACATAGATATTTCTACCTGCTAATAACATAACAAGACTATAGTGTAGTGAGGCTGTGAGGGTTTTGTAGATGCCTCCTGACCATTTAAGACTTTGTATATGTTTTGTTCTGGAAAAATAGATAGTGTGGGTTGAGCCTTTGTGAATTCCACCTTTGATATTTCTGCTGTTGAAGTATATTCCTTGAATGGGAATGTTGGGGTTGGTCAAAACCAAGGAGAAATGCTGCGATGCAACCCCCACCCTTTTGAATGTGCACGTCGTAACTTTCTATTTGCCAGCTTGCTGATATTGACCATACCCCCTCCCCCCAATTCCACTGGCAGATGTTACTTAAATTCAGAAAAAAGAATCCCCCCAATGTTTTCTCAAAATCACAATAATTTTCTAGAGTAGGATAGAACTTAAGAAGTTCCAGATTTTAATTGTCCTGTAGAAGGAGGTTTAACAAATAACTGTGGGCAAACTAGATGCAAATGGGCCTAAAAAATAATTTGAAATACGAAAATAGAGCACTGGGTGTGGTGTACCTGAACTTACAGCACACTGCAGTCTTCCTTTATGAAGAATGGGAAAGGAAAAAGAGATGAATGGGAAACTAGTCCTGGTTCTGAGCTCCTGAGGCCCCTTTTTCAACTCTCCTAGATCCAGTACTTCTTGGGTGCCTTAAAAAAAATCAGAAATCCCAGTTTAGTGTTATTTATGAATGCAACAGCTGGCTGAAGCACCAGGAAATTAGTTAATAGCCAAGCCTAGATTTGATCTGACTATTAATGCCAAACCAGCAGTAAAAGATGGCAAGAGAGAGAGAGAAGATCTGAAGACACTCAATCAAGAATAAAATATTGCCCAAATTGCCTTGACATTTGGGATAACTGTACAAACTGCCCAGTGCAGATCAGCCAGTACTAATGCAAAGCTCCAGGGCTAATTGTTTCATGGAACCAAGCCCCAAAAATGAAGCCTTCCAAGTTGGTAGGAATACCAAAATAAAATCTTTTATTTGGAGCTCTTTTATCAGTTTGCAGTAGCTGGGGGGACCACAGGAGAGATTAGAAAGCCAAAGGTTACTGAAATTATGGAAGAAAATGATCTTTCCCTTTTTTTCCTTTTCTCTCCCTAGGGCAGCTGTTGAAGCTCTGGCAGCTTTGTTGAAATCAAGTAAGCTTTTCTACCTTTCTCACTTTTTCTGCCTACTCACTGTTTCCTGTGCTGTCTGCGTACCCAGCAATATTCTCATTTCCCTAAAGTCTGTCCATCTCTTCCCTCCTTCATTCTAATTAGTATCACTCCTCTGAAAATGCAACAGGACCCTGAGACTGTCAAAATGTAGTGCAGAGTGAGCATGTCACACCATGTGTACCTCACTTTAGGGTTCATAAGTTACCAAAAGCAATAAGAAAGTTATTGGTGCCATCAATAAAGGGGCAAGATTCATAGTATAGTCGTTCTCACAAAATGGTGGCTGTGACTAGTCAGTTGTGACAGAAGGCAAACTGAGGCTAATTCTTGGTCTCACTTCTAGGTCCTTCCCCATCTCCAGAAGGTTATCTACTTACAAATTATCTTATTTTCTTATTCTAACTCAAGCATTGAGATTTATCACCTTGTTTTGCTTTTGCAAGAATGCCTATAGGCTCAAGGGGCATTTTTGTGATGGTAAGTAAAGATGATGCTGTTAGTATAATTAACCTAGGGCAGGGAATTGGGTAAGCAGCACTAATATACTGCCCATTTGAACAGACTTCTGTTTTGAATCATACATGAATTGTAAGTTCTATGAAGTGTTGTTTTTCTTCAGCATCTTCAAATAGGGCTTCTAACTTAATTCCTGGAGAACCCTGCCCCCAGTAATCCTTGACCATTGGGGATGCTTGGAGTTGTTGTCCACAAATAATTGGAGGTGCAAGGCTGGGAAAGTCTGGATGAGAAAGTCTGTTGGCTCCCCATCCTCCAAGAACCATTCCAATATTAGTACCTTACAAAAATGCATTTCCTAAGGGTGAACCAGCCTCTGTCCTAGTATGATGCTGGGAGGAGTGTCAAGTCCACTAAGGGAAGGGAGAGATGGGCTTGCTTCTTCCTGTGATTCTTATGTCACTACTACCTCCACTATCCTGATGGGATCAGTGTGACTTCAAGGAGAGATGAGATGACATTTTGCAGACCAGGAAATTGGCTTAGAAATAAACTTGAATACATCTATTTTTTGTGGGGGAGGGAAGGTTCCTGGTGGCAGAGAAGGAAAACCTCAATTTGGAGAAAAAAGCTAACCACTGAACATTGCTAAGTTATGGTGACACTCAGCTGCAGCAGTATTTATGCTGTGTTTAAAGTATCTGCCAAATGGAAAAGGCCCTCACACAATCCCGCATAGACAAAGAATGAATGTTCTTGAAGCCAACGATATATCCTCCGATGTCTCTTTCTTCCATCCCTAAACAACTGAGCCATTTATTACCAGAATTTAATAAAGCTTTGATTAAGAAAAAGTGCTCTTTGATTGGAGACAATCTTCCTGATGATAAATCACAACCCTGTATTGTCCTCCTCCTCTCTCACCCATGAGTATCCCCTCCTTTCCCCTGCCCCAAATACTTGCACACTCTCTCCTCTTTCATGAACATTAGGATTTGAATGCTTTTGTGAAACATCAAAGCTCTAGAAGTTGCTCTTTAAAACCCACTGGTTGAAGTTCTCAATTCACAAATAATATGCCAGCATTAACCTTGGTACCTGTATTTAAAGGTCAGATTATTACAATGAGGAAACACCTTAATTCAGGCTTTAAATCTTAATCTGTCAACTCTGGTGCTGCCTTCATCTTTTAGAATGGAAACATTGGACATTAAAAAAGAGGAAATCAATGGGAAGGGATAATTTTTTAAACTTTTCTTTTGCTAGCCAGCTCCAGGGATCTGACATTATCGAAGTAGCATTAAAGCACAACCATGAGAATGGAGCGTTTTGATGAATAGTGTTACTGAGGAACAAAAAGTCATCCTTTTCCAGTTTTTTGGCAGGAGGTATTCCTTGAGAAGATACTTTTACCTTATACTTCTCTTTTCTATTGCCTTCAATTACCCTCACCTCTATGGCTAACCTAGATAATACGCAAACTGTCCTGCTTCAGTTTCTAATTTAATGTAATTAAGTATTTGGTGACCCAGTCTAATTTAGGACTAAGTAGTCAGCATAATACTTTCCTCCCAGTTTTCTTTAAAATCAATAAATCAATAAATCTTCTTACCACCAGTGTGTAGCTTTAAGGATTAAAGAAAAAAAGCATACACTGATACAAAAGCATCCATGGAGCTTTGTAGCCATTCCCCCTGTATTTGGAAAATTATTTTTTAAACTAGGAAGAGCATTTGATGCTTCCAGATCACAACATCTGGAATCTCCATGGAGACTCTGTGATTTAGTGCCAATATACCACTGTTTGGCACATAACGGGAACAGAAATAATTGTGTGGGCATAACATTGTGTGTTCCACTTTGATCAGACATACACTAGTGAAATGAGAGCATGTGTAGTAGAAAATTAGAAAATTCTGCTTTTGTTCCCTTTTTATGGGTGTGGGTTTACAGTATGTCTATACTGTGCTGGTTGTTGAACAACAAGGTTTCACATTGCTATTCTTAATCAAGAAGGCTAGTCAATATTAGTATTTGAGTTCTGAGTCTTGGAGAAAAGTCACTGAAAGCCCCAAAGAGGTAAAGGACAAATGGTATGTGCCAGGATGTCTTTGGAGAGGTATCAGTACAAATGTGATAATGTGCAGTTGGTGAAGAAACTCAGAATTCACAGAGCATAGCTTGGTGATAAAGCACATGCATTAACATGAAAGTCTTGCATTGATTTCTGGGCAACAAAATTGGAAAATGCCTTTTCCTGATAGTTACTAGAAGTCAGAGTAGAGAGTCATTAGGTGTACATATTGCACAGCCACATAAGGTAACTTGTTCCATTTCCATTTAACATACAGTTAAATTGCAGTTTATTTGGTAAACCACAACTTAATGCACTGTGTCAACCAGGTCACTGTCTGGTTCAAATCCACCAAGATCTGATTCTTTCTAAGGCATGTTTTTCCTTTCATGGTTATTATAAAAGAAAAATCAAACCAGGGGCAATTTGGGACATTTCCCACAATCCTGAGGAAGAAGTTTAGCCTAAAACCCTTTATTTTTGAAATAAAAGTTGACGGAGAATGATGGAGTTTCTAAATGTCTTCTGCCTAAGTTGCTCTGATCTCTGTTGGCTGTGTATACATAGTTTTGTAAGCCTCTTCCACTAGACGCAGTGATGGACATCAATTTAGGTGTATTTAGGATAATGTATGGCTATTAATGGCTAGTACCACTGATGTCTGCATATTACCTTTTGATTGAAAGACAGAATATAATAGATATCAATGAACCAGAATAAGAGTATAATTGCCATTATTTGCTGACTGTGAGCATCCTGAATTCACCTAGTCTGCCATGAAGTAACAAAATATGAACTAGAGATGCCTGTGATCTGAAGCATCACGTTTCTCATATATTCTTATCAAGTAGCTTGTCTCTGACATGAATTGTAGCATTGCACCTCCTGGTCTATGACCATGATAAAGATTTGATTTGGTTTGCAATATTGCAAGTCATGGCTCTGAAATCCAGAACCTCAGGGCCAGTACTTTGTGGAACTTTCCATGGTGCTGAACTTTTCATTGAACTTTGCATTTCACAAAGGTGCTTCAGAAAGCCATACATCCTCTCACCTGAGCCATCACCTTGTCAACTTTACACTTGCAACTGTATAGTGAGATGGGCAGCATACAAGTTTGATTTATAAATAAATAAAATAAATAAACTGAATGGTCACCTATTTGAATATTTTCCTATATTAACCTTCTGCTACCATCACTTTGTACTTTAGTTATCAGCATTTTAAGGAAAAGGCTAGGCTGGAACTGTTCTACGTTTTCTGTGTTTGGGAATTATTGATAGGGGGAAAAAAAGCATTTAAATAAGAGAATCTCCATCTCTGGCGTGAAGTGGCCCAGTCCAGCAAGAACAGCATAATGTTATTCTCCTGGCCCCATAGCTAATATCTCTCTTTTCTTTTTCACAATGTCTCCCTTCATATCAAATTCAATCAGGGAAGCAAATTTGTCTGTTTTTGGCTAGGACATCCACTAGGATATTTTCATGGCACACAGCGTGCTTTTATGAAATTGGAGCACTTTTAAAAAGTTATACTTTACTTATTTTATATTATAATTTGTAATGGAAGCTGCACCCTACACCAAGAAGCAGGGGGTTACAATCTTCTGCAAAGTAGTGTAAAACCCTGAGCTGGTTTAATTAAAATTCTTCTGGATATAGTTAAAATATTGTTGCTTTGCTTTTCTCTTCTTCCATACCCTGAATCTTATTTTTTCTTACAATTTGTATTTTTGTGGTTCCACATGGGGGTGCTCTTACCATAGCTATTCCAGTCCTCCAAAAGCTTTAATCCAGTATTTATTTTTAGTGAGTAATTTGTTTATCAGCTTGTTATTTTAATCTAATGTTGGTCATATTTGTCACTGTCAACTATGAAGCATTCCCCAGCATTAGAAACTTGTGCATCTTGAAAAGTAATTAGCTTGTAGAAGCTGATCTCAGAGCCTTTGCTTGGTGGTATCAGAAAAAAGGTGGCCTGGGTAAGCCAGTTGCATTGTCTTTTTGAGGGAAAAGCAAACAATTTAGAGGAACTGGACATGGCAATCTCTTGAACGGTATCAAAAGAGACAGTCACCCTCCAAAGGTCATGCCCAAAACCTCTTACTTTGAGCCAATGTAGGCTGTTGATTATGGAATGATATACTTAAAATTAGAACAGTCGCAGAAACATCATTGGTAAACCCTATTTCACATGGAAGTTGTGTTATATAATACTTACAATTATTCCCTGGAGAAGGTACTGAATGAAAGGTGATTATGGTGAAGGTTCATGAAAAAAAACAAAACAAAGTTTTTCAACATTCCCCTAAATCAGAATGGGATCTAAAACATGCTAAAACAGAAATGTTGTATGATTGCAGGCATTGGGATGTGTAAACCATGGCTAATGTTAACATTAACCAGATCACAATGGTTTGTTATGATGATGATGATCTGGTGGGAACCCA